TAACTTGAATTATACACCAACAACTTTGGGGGTACAAAGTTGAAGAGAAATTATATCTGGGGGTGAATTATACACCAACAACTTTGGGGGTACAAAGTTGAAAAGAATTATATCTGGGGGTATGCAAACAAAAAAAAGGTTGAATACTATTCTAGAGGACCCTGCATAAATGACAATCGGCTACGTTAGCTACGTTTTTTCAGGGTCCAAGTAAAGTAATGTTATATATTTACTACTGTAACAGAGTGCAATGCCCACAATAATCCTACGGTAAATATGGACCACCGAGAAAAACCTCAAACTTGAAATACTGTACATATCAGTTGAGTCTGTGGACCTATAGCTTCGGAATTTGACGGAGCGCCGTAAAATAACCGAGTGGCCAATGACCACATAATAGCCCACATACTCGTCAGATGATGCGGACTTCGTTATGATCGTAATGCCTGGCTTTCTGCGTTAGAAGTCACTTAATGTTACGGTTCTTGTGGGTGGACACGAAATCAGCTCAAGGTCGTTAAGAACTGCAACAGGTAAATGACTCCATGCTAGCCTCGCCTCCTGTACCGTCAGCAACGCATACAATGCATTGGGCTTCATCAGTGGCGGACCGAGCCCCTGCTTCACCGAGTTACATACGTCGTGGCGTATTGCACTGTGAAGAACCTTCCCTACTCAGCTGGTAATTAATCATATGGTCATATAATCCCCTGATTTTACAGAACCCAAAAGTTCATTACCTCATTCACAAAGTCCGCTATTAAACGACAGAAAAATGTAGCCATTTATATTTGAACGTTTAAATTCTACATTTGGTGTCGATGTGGTCTTCTGAGTGGTAGTATCCTGAAGATGGAAACAGTATGTTCTCTTGTCGATGTTTGCCTCCTACCCAGAAGACCAACATCGACGTCATCACCGATGTGAGAGCCTCAAATTTTCACATTCGGGGTTTTAATTGACAAGCCTCCCATGCAGGGGATATCGACAGTTACTCTAACAGAGGAAAACGACCGAAGTGTGAAGCTGACCACTCCCTGAGCAGGACTTAATAGCGCAGTGATTAGACAAAGTGACAATTTTACTTATCCTATGAGTCGCCACTGAGTCGCGTCCAAATCTATTGGCTCGAAAAGTCGTCGCCATATAGACAGAGATAACAAATCCGACGATGACCTTCCACGCCAACAATGAAAAACCGAAGGAAGAATGAGTGGGTCGATAGTGGGTGATTTACTTAAGACAGACGTTCCTTCGTAATCAGTCATTGGTACAGTCCGACTTTCCAATCGTGGCACTTGATTGCGCATGAGGGGAATATGACAGAAATGGAGGGGGGGGGTTGTGTTACGGGTGGAGAATGGAGCGAGACAGATGGTAACCTATTGCAACTAAAGAACGTGTAACCCGCACACCAGTGTAAACCTGTAACGCCAAGCGCTGTATTAATGTATGCAAGCAACGTCAGGACGTTTCGAAAAAAAATTGCAATATAGCAGTTCCGATAAAACAAAACAGGAGGCCCTGAAAAATTCTGCATGTTTGTGACATCTGTTAGCCCTATCCGATACCAACCAAACCCCCAGAAATCTAACCATAAGTACTGACCAAATTGGATTGTACCAGAGCTATCAGGACCTGTCTCTTTGTTTTAATGGCAGAGAAAGGCTGGATCCTTTACTTTCGGCTGCAAAAAAATTTACACTGGTAGCTTTAATAATTTCGATGTTGTGCATAAGATAAAAGGTTTAAAAACACTGATTCAACCCAGACGATTCCCTTAACCACTGAGAAATAAGCCTAAAAAATCCCCATATCAATTCCAGGTGGACATCTGACTTAATCTGCAACACGACACGGATGTGTCAGTTAAGAGGTTAAAATAACCCTGTTACTGGCTGCATTATTTGTGGAGTTCATTACGTATGCACAGTCTATATGAGATTAATCACGTAGTTAAAGCATAAAATAGGTGTGCAATATAAAAAGCAATTTCAAAATTCCAAGAAAACTTGGGCGAAATGAAATGCACCTTTCTAATGAAAGTTTTGCGGTAATCTCAAATAGGGAAGTGTTTTTTCTACTTAAGCCTGTAAAAATAATCGGAAAATTAACTAATGCTTCAATAACCATAATACAATTAGGGCACAGTACTACATCGGCATTTGCTTAGAAGAACTTGGGAGAATGAGACAAATTACCGGCAATCCAGCTGATATTCGAACCCAGAAATTCCGGAATACAAGAGACACAGTACAGAGCCATTAGATGGTCCTCACTGGAATGGTTCCTGTTTTCAAAGAACAAAGGATGATATAGAATTTACTAATGGAGGTCACAGAGACCTTCCAGGGTCTGCAGGTGGGAGGGGCCTTGTGACCATACTTACACCGCATTATCACCCATGGTCTCTGTCTGTTTCTTCAGCGTTAGTATACCAGGGCGGTGTAAATTAGCAGATGTTCACGAGGACATGGTTGTCACTGTTACTATTTAATTTGTGTTCAGAAATGAGCGCATAATCGGGAGGTCGCTTTCGTCACTCTATCCGCGTGTTTCTTCTCCGTAACTATACAACATATAAGCAGATTAAAGAAAACAATTGTTTACCCAACTTAAGAGACTAATCAGTAACTAATTTCCAGAAATTCATCCTACCGAATGTTGCAGCAGTGGCTGGCAT